ATACCCAACAACGTTCAATGAGAAAACTCGGCAAGAACTGCTCTATGGAGAACAACGAGAACTCATCTTGATCAGCTGAGGCCCAGTGTTTGCACCATGAGGCAGTGTTGATCAGTCCATATACAGCTACAAAGCCCAGCAACAACAACAAGACACTATGGGCTTATAACAGTCGACCTCCCCCTCTTCTTCTCAGTACATCAACCTTTCTCACATAGAGACTCGGACATAGGTTGTGGAAAAAAAAAAAAAAAAACAGAGTGCAGGCCGATGCTACCCATGTAGCCCCACTGACGTGAGCAGATATGTCCTGACCCTTTCCTATTTCATTGTACGTATGCACAGGTGGCCGCTGAAAGTTGCCAGAGCGGTGCTGAAGATGGTTGTTGCGACCGGTAGCTTCACGATCAGTAGCAACATGACAAGGTAGTGGCCTCGTGGTTGATAGTGGTGATGACCTCAGTGACAAAGGTCGTGACAATAAATCACATCGGTGGTGTATGGAACCACGACCAAGCTGGTGGTCATGACCACCTTGCAGTCAGTTGGCCCCCGTAGCTTTCACTCTCAGTCCCTCCCCCCCCCCTGAGTCTTTGGCTCTCGTCGATAAGTACTTGCCCCTTCCTTCAACCTTCACTGCTCAAACCAATTAGCGCCCCCACTCTTCAAAGTTGACCAAGTGTATGGACCAGCCGTGCGATCAGGCAGGTCCTAGGAGCGACTGCGGATCAGGTAGGTCCCCAATTCCCACCGCTAGCCCCACGCCACTTCGCTTAATGGAATGAGCAATATCGGTATGGAGTTTGCACTAAAACGTGGGGAGATACATTCCGCAGACTATCAATAAAGCAACACAAAATTCAACCACTAACTCTCAAAACTAACTTCACCCCCCTTCTCGCAGTACCTGAAAACCTCTGGAACGAATCTCCACTTGCTCGTTTTCACGAAGAAGTGGGTGAGTTACTCGATCTTCGTCCCCACCATATTCATTTTCACTATCCCTCCTCGCACGTCATTTCCTATATATCTCTTATTCTACTAACTTATGGTCAAAACTAACTTAACCATGACACTCGCCCGGGGTAAAAACCCCTACCTACCACCTTTACGCATTCGTTTTCATCGCTAAGCGAGCAAGGCATACGTTCTCGACCGCTACCATATCCACCTCTTTTCGTCAAGGCACACTTCATACTTGCTCTACTGACTAACCCATTTATCTTCTCGCCATTCTGGCTTTCTCAACGTGTTCGCCCGACTCCAAAACCCTGATCTCAACCCTTCGCTCGCTCGTTTTCGTGGAGAAACGAGCGAGCTATACTATTTTGAAATTCCCTGTTCACTCCTTCTCCATCTTCGTTTCTAGAACGCACCTGGCGTGAATCCACGGTCAGTTCATTCCATCCTTTTTGATCTCTTGCTCTTCCCCGTCACCTACCGCCTGTCTCCGCCACTCTCAATCTGCGTTGCCCGGTATTCCCTCATCCAACAATCGATTTCGCCTGTTACTGCGAGCCTTTGCCAACGTTCCTTCTGGCCGTAGCGCTCGATCCTACAACCGAGCGCGAATCTGTTCAGCAGCGCCGACTTTCCTTAGGAAGACTTCGAAGGGGGACCAACCTTCTAGAATAGTCTTTTGCCCCTATACCTGACCCGGCGAACAATCTGCGCGCCAGTACTATTGTGTGCCTTCGCCGAAATCCCACTGGCCACATCCAGTCGATCAGGGCCCACTGCGGCCCTGGCCACTCATGATGGCCAGGTTTAGATAGACACTAGCGCTACATGCATGTCACGGTCTCACAGGGGTTGCGCCGACCTTCTCTGTCTTGCCCCATTTTCAAACAGATGGCCCGAATGACTTACGCACGGCAAGCCTACGAAGGGCTATCAGGTGGCCAAACAACTCCCTAGGCCCAACCTGAGCTCTTCTTTCAACGGTCGTGGCTGCTATTACCGAGCCAGACCCGCTAAAAACCCGAACCAGTCCCAAAGGCCCAGGTTACAGCTTCTGAGGCCCTCATCGGCATTGGTCGGCTTCAAGTAAATCGGACACACAATATCTTACTCACCTGCATCCAACAAGGCCTAAAGTTATGCCTTTATTTATTGGCTCAAGGATGTACCACCTCGCTTCACTCCTTTGAGACCTGCGTTGCGCAGCAACTAAAACCAAAAAGGATACCCGCGCCACGCCTTCAACCCTTCGGCTCCCTCACGCTGCTCCAATGCCCCTATGATGCCGCTTGTTGGTCTCGCTCCCCGGATCTCTCTGGTGAAAGTCCGATGCAGTAACCAATAATGCTAAGCCCAAATCTGGCTCTAGTTTTGACGGACACCTAAATGAACCGATACTGCGTGGTGCGCAGATCTACCGAAACGTTTCAAACTCACATCATTGTCAACACCGTCCTCCGTACGTACACACAAGTCACAAGCAAAAGCACCAACCAAGAGGCATAATCCTTGTAATCCTAATTTAATCAAAAACAAGAATCTGGCCGGCAGCTACGCCGACTTTCACAATCATCAATAAAAAAAAAGAAAAAAAAAGATCACGCGCGCCTTAAGTCTGAGCGCCTACACAATCTTTACTCTCACCAACCGTTCAGTTAACGTCAACCACAGACATTGTCGCACCTCGCGCGGTATACTTAAACTTTTAAACCAAACATATTTTATGTCACTTGCAAAAACCAAGGCGGATACCCTTGTAAGGGTATTCGCACCGACAGCTTACCGGATCATATTAAGTGACGTCCCCGTCGCTTCGCAGAATCAGAAACCTATAAATCCATTCAGAATTTTAAATGCTAACGAGAAAGAAACCAATCTGATCAGCCGATAGACTCAGGTTCGAGACCTCCATCAGTCCACTCCAAACGCAACTTTATGCTGCCAGGATTCCAAACTAGGCCTCCATCGTCATGACACTAGGACAATGAGATACTCATTACTATATTACAACATAAGTCTTAAGTGGATTCCTCAATTGTCCTCTCCCCTTTTTCCTAGACAAATGTTGGCTTCTCGTTAGGTGTCCCTAGCCTCTATTTTGCAAACAGGGCAATAACCAGGGACGAGGACCCTAACCTAGACCTTTGAAGACATTTTTGCTTCCCTCCAACAAATTTCGCAATCAAACATATATATTTATACAAATCTCATCATAGACTCTTCCTGCAGTCTAGTACAGGGAGGTCAACTCTTCATCCTGGCCCACCATAGTCTGAGTGATTGTGTCAGATCTACGACCCACCGAGTTGTTATTTTAGCGGTAATGCCCTCGTAGGTTGCGCCACGATAAGTTTTTTCCTGATAAACATTCAATCAGGACTAAGAAAGACTCGACTCCACTCCTATCCCACGCCGTTCCGAAGGAGTAAAACCTTCCTAGGTGGCCACACCCCTTTAAGTCATTACTCCCTTGGCAAGACGTAGGCCAGCTGGTCAGGTTACACTGATCAGCAACCGACACTAGGGGTTGCGCCCTAATGATGCTAAACTTTACCGTTAGCTTGGTACTCTCATAAATGCCCCAAGATTAACACAAGTGGCTGGACGGTGTGTCGCAACATAACAGACCTACTGCGGGACTACGCAAAGGTCTGACACACATAAAAGGTATTTACCAGTCCTCTGTGGGACAACACAGAGAAACACGACAACCTCTCCACATTCACAAAACAAAATCACCGCCAGATTCACAAGGTTGTGACCTCCCTACTTGATCAGAGCAAGAAGATCACCTCTCAGTGACATCTCCCAAAATAAATCACACTTGCGACCTCCAAAATTTCACCAATGGCCAAACAAAATGTGGTCTTTCTCGTCAGACTTTATCATTCAAGATAAGTTTTTTATGCCATTAAATCTATTAACCACCTTTTCATATGAAGGCGGTCTCACTCAATAGGTCTCCCTGTCATCCCTTCCCTTTTTAGGATGAACTCTCACACGACTTTTCTCTTGAAACATCTTTTCTCTCAGAAGGTAAGTCTCCAAACAAACAGAGACTATCTTCCCCTCTCGAGGATGTCTTAACCATAAAACAACTCAAACTGAGAGGTCAACTTATGGATCCTCATCATAACTCAATCAATACATTTGGCATGGTAAGTATTAAAGTCTCAAAGACTCATAAATCCCTTAGGATTCTCACACTTTTCACAAAAACAGGCTGCGCTCCCTCTTCTTATACCCGACCCTATCACCCGCCCATACCCATATCACACGAGTATACCGAAAAGTAGACAGTCCACATCCATTCACATTCACGAAATACACAACATATGAGATGTTTCTCATACATCTCTCACACAAAGTCATCATACATCAGAATAAAACTACACATGTGAGAGTGATATGATCGTCATATATAGGGGAATAGTCTCGGATATAACTCAACTCAAAAGTACACTCAGGGATGTGATATCTCATAAAAAAACACCCATAGTAGCCCAGATCCATAACTCACTCGGATCAATCAATGTCACTCTCAATATGATACAGGGCCAATCATACTGGTAGAAACGTCGCTGAGACAACTACTGAATTTGAATGTCAAAGTCAAGGAAGAATATCCTTGTCATATACATGCTATCTTACATAACGCTGACCCTTATATCACTAAAAAAAAATGTCAATGGGAAACATACGCTGTAATCCTCCATATGTACAATTAACAGCATAAATATTCAGACTCTCAAGAATGCAAAAAACGAAAACAAAGATATCGTCAAACCTCGGCCCTAATGTACATACTTTGCTCATCCTTATGCTAGCTAAACAGTAATCCTATACGTAGGTTAACCAGTCCCTACTCACTCATCTCCTCCTGGTTTTGCCTATATAACTGAGCTCGGCCCCCATCGACAGATCGTTCCACTATTCTACCCTGTCTATCATACATCTTACCATGACTCTCAGTAACTTTCCCTATTGCCTTGTCCTTCAAAAACTTAGAACACTGCAAGGCTGTATATTCCCCTTTCTTGCAGAAAAAATAAGCCGGGTCTTATGACTTTCTTAGCCTTTTCTTCTTCCTCTGAGACCCTAGCGACGAAGGTGCCTCGCTAGCCTCTCTGCCCAGCTCATAGCTCTGGGGCACGTCCATAGACTCCTTAGATCTCAAATCCATCTCTCGAGTACTCGGCTCTGCCCGTATCCCAACTCCTGTTGGTCTGTACTCAGGAGTATCCAACCTCTGTGGCCTACCCTCAATGACGCTCTTCATCGCAATCATCATTTCTCCCTGAGGTGGTTCCTCCACCCTCTGCTCAGGCGAAAATAGACTCGCCTCTTCCTGCATAGTATCAACTGCCTTCAGGAGCACATCCATAGACCCTTTCACTGAACCCTGAATCGGCTCGCTGCTAGTTGTCTGTTGCCCCCTCTCGACTGATAATGGCATAGCCTCTGTCATGGGCTCCACGGCTGTTGTTGGCAACGTGGCGAGTTCAGTAGGCGCCCTGAACTCAAAGGCCTCTCTCTCTGCCTCCCTCTTTGCCTTTGCCTCCTCAGGCTCCATGATGACTCTTCCCATGGGCGGTTCCAGGGGGAGTCCAACTGCTAGTGGCTGCTCGGACAAGTCCTGTATTGACTCTCTCTGGACGTCATGTCGGCTACTCCCTGCCCCGTCCACTACCTCGGCAGGCTCCTCTCTCTCTGTCCTGTCGACCCTGTCTCGAGGTTGCCGCCTCAAATCCTGGATGATGGCAGCTTGACTAGCCACCAATGCTCTGAGCTCTCGTACCTCCGCCTCAACCGCCTTCAGACGCACTCCATGACTCGCTTCCTTCACCTTTTTTCCGGCCAGATCATCTTTCAACATCAGGTACCTATTGAAAGATGTTTTGGTCAGGAAGCGGATCTTACGATCCAGGTACTCATCCAGCCTCCTTGATGTCCCGAGTCCTGCCCCCTCTGGAGTCGTCAACCCCTCGCCATGCTGGTCAAAGAACTCGTCCCACATCTCCTTGACTCCACATGGCTTAGGCGGTGGTGGTTGATCTGGGAGTGCCCTGACCACCTCTAATCTCTGACTTTCCTGCCAAATTTCCTCCACGCATTTTCCAACTCTGGCCCGCTTCTCATCGGCTGTCTCCCCTGCCGGTACTCTCCCTCTCGTGCGATGGTCTGCTCTCCCCGGAATCTCGGCCCCTGCTTCTCTCTCTAGCTGGCGCGACTCTCGCGGCGGCTCCATAGGCATAGGCTCCTCAATGTCAGGGTGCTCTTGGGCATGCACTGCTAGATACCTATCAATCATGGAGATGGCCTTTCTTCTCCAGTCAGTCCGTTCTCGCTCAATTTCCATCTTCACCCCTGGCGAAAGGATTACCTCTGGCGGCAAGGACGGAATCTCCCCCTGTTGAGGCTCCTCCTCCTCCTCGCGGGCGATCTTCGGTACGATCTCTGGCCTCAACTCTGCAACATGCGCCTGGGGTGGAGTGTCCTCTCCAACCTCTATCACCTCCTCTGCTACGCGTCCACCTTGAGCGCCTCGCTCTTCTCCCTGACGGACCTCCTCTCGTGGCGAATCTCCAATTGGCTCATCATGCCCCTCATCAACCTGAGACACTCTCCACTGTGAACTATCCAGGTGTGCTTCCAGTTCCTGCCATGATCCTCTGGATGGCGCCACCTCCTCTTGCGTGCTGGGGAGACTCCCTCAGCTCTGCTCCAGTAACCCGCTGGAAGACCATCGAGCCTATCCCACACTCGGGATATACCCCTCGCTCCTCCTCCACGGGTATCAACTCCTCCTCTCGCCTAGCGCCCGCCTTCCGTCCTCCTCGCCATGACATGGTATCTCTAGGCTCTGGGTCCCTCTGCCCCTTTCTATGCCTTATCTATGACTCTTTTCTACATACTTAGGATTCTACTTTAAAGGAGTTGAATCGCCTATCTTACCTCCTCTCTTGCCACAAATTTCTTCAGTCTCGTTCCTGATACCCAATCCTTCCATTTTGTTTCATCTAGCTCCTCAATTTGGTATGCGTCAAAATCTCCACATCGCACAATTCGATAGGGTCCTAGACACCTTTTGTCAAGCTTCCTGGACCACTGTTTCTCTAAGGACGAGTCATATAGTAGTACGACGTCTCCAACTGCCAAGGGTACCTTCCGTACTCGCGCCAACTGGTCCCAACGAGCCTTATCATCCATGCGGCTCTTCTCCACTTGGTTGGACGCCTTCTGAATCCTTTCCTCTATTGCACCCACCTGTCATGCTCGAATGTCGAGCAATTCTTCAAAGGACAGGTTGGTTTCTAAGTCCTGACGTCTCCAACTCTTCAAGAAGCTCTCAATTGGGAAGGTGGCGTGTCTCCCGTACCATAGCGTGGCTGACGCGTACTTAGTGGTCCTCTTTACCGTAATATTCTCGACAAAAAATGTCGTCCTTAGGTATTTTGGCCACTGATTAGGCCTACCTTCAGTCCACTTAGCTAGAAGGTTCGTGATGGTGTCGTGCCCTCTTTCAACTGGAGCATTCGCCTGGGGGTGCGTGGCCGTGGTATAATTGGCTACCACGCCGTATCTTGACAACAACTCTTGCACTTCCTGACAGGTAAACTCCGACCCTCTATCCATTACAAACTCTCTGACAAAGGAATAACGCAGGTAGTACTCCTCGACGCAGCTTACCAAAACCGAACCGGTCTTTGTATGGATGACTCGTCCATCTACAAAGCCAGAAAGGTTATCACTCGCATCGAAGATATAATCATAGTCATGATCCCCAATCGGCATGAAGAGCAAGTCGAGATGTACTACGGCCCCCACTTCCCTTTCGAACCTTGGATGCAACGGCTCTCCTGGTCTCGGAGGAGACCGTTCTTGACAAGGTACGCAGGAATGGCAAAACTTGCTGACCATTTCCATCATTCCATCTCTGTAGTATAGTTCGCTTATCTTGGCATACGTGACACTAACTCCCCGGTGCCCCCCCGCGATGTCATCATGAAGCGCAGCTATAATATCAATCTGACGATTCCTGCCACACACAACCCTCCTGCGGTTTCCCACTTGCCTCTTTACAAAAAGATGACCATCTCTCACCAAATGGAGATGCCTCATCTTTTGAGTCATTTCACTTGCATCCCTATCCCGTATCTCACACGATAGGAGAAGCCCCAACTTCAGGTAGATTCATTCATACTCTTCCGCACGAAACGCCTCTTTGATCTCCCCCTTTTCAAACTCATCATCTGGCTTTCTGGCACCACATCTTCATTCTCAGCTGGATTCAGCAAGCTTATCTGATCAAAGTTTCCCTGCAGAAGTGTATTAACGAGGAGATACATCCCTCCCATTAATTCCTCGTGCTTCTCTACCTCATCTGGCCATTCCTCTATCATTCTCATCTCCTCCACCAGACTATGTGTGCCCGCTAGTGCCAACTTCATCATCCATTGGACGTTTTTGCCGCCCTATGGGTCTTTTTCTTTAGAAGGCTTGACCACCAGTTCTGCCTTCTGTTCATACCCTCTCGGTGCAATCCAGATGGGGTCGCCAATGCAATTAGGTACTCGCAAAAACCATTCATTTATATGAAGACAGATGTCTTCCTCTTGATCCAATAACCCATCAACTGGGGCGTAGTCTCTACCGCCTTCTACTTCTGCTGATCCCAGTCGATGCGGCTTAACCCATCCGCGCTATTCTTGTTTCCAGGGATCCTTTCCAACTCAAAGTTAAACATCCAGATGTAAGTCAACCATCTGGCTACCGTAGGATCCGATGGAACATAATTTCTCAATGACTAGGCGAGAGCGGTTGGGTCCACCCTTAATATGAACCTTCTGCCAAAGATATGATTCCTGAAGATTCTTAGGCAGTAAAAGACAGCGAGAGTCTCTTTTTTAAACTGAGAGTAGTTTCTCTCAGTTGTATTGAGAGTTCGGCTCTCAAACCTCAGTGGTCTCTCCTTTCCTTCAACATCTATCTGGATTAAGACTCCTCCCAAGGCAGTCGATCCAGCGTCTGTTTCAACGACAAATGGCCTTACCTTTGTGGCATTATAGTCCGGTGCTCCTAATACTAACCCTCCTTCTCGAAACTCCTCTTTCATCTTAGTCACTGCCTTCTCCTGCTCCTCACCCCAGATCCACTCCTGGTCCTGACGAACTAACTTTCTTAAGTGTTCCGTCTTTGTGGCAAAATTCTTGACGAAGGTTCTCCGGAACCCACAGGTGCCGAGGAAGCTCCTAACATCAGTTATCGAATGGAATGGTACTGGTTATTCGGTAATTTTGTCCGTCTTTCTTACGTCTGGCCGACGACCCTTCTCACTATAGACGAACCCTAGGATGGTAGCCTCTCTCACGCATTGTCTGGATTTGGCTCCACTTGCCGTGAGGTTGTGCTCCTCAAGCAAGCTCATGACTTTATCAAGATCCTGGACATGCTTCCAGACAAAGCGCCTTACTCCTGGTAAGACTTCGTTACTCTCCTTCTCTCCCGGCCCTTTTACCGCCAAGTCGTCGATATACGGCTGAGTGATATGCGAGCTGACGGACTGCATGGCTCGAATCATATGTCGTTGAACCATCGCCACTGCATTAGTCCACCCTTGCGGAACCACATTCATATGGATCAGTCCTCTAGGTGTATGCATTGTTGTCACTGGCCTGTCTGGCGGGTAGTAGACTGGAAACTGGTCATACCCCGAGTAGAGGTCTATAAGCGAAATTATAGGCCTTCCAACACAGGACTCTGATAGTGCGTCTGCATTTTGCAAACCTCCCGCATCTCGCACAGTCGCTGCATTCAGTTGCTGCAAATCTTGTACCCACCGCAGTGTCTCGTTAGGCTTAACAAAACAAAACCATGGAGACGCGTACGGCCCACTCGAGTAGTCAGCGACATGCGTACGTATCTTGCCGTCGAGATAATTCATTACCTTTTTTTCCTCGTCAGGATTAGGATACCGTGCCCCTCTCAAATTTCATGGCTCATGCGGTACGGTATGAATCCGGATCATGGGGATTTTATCTACGTTCATCCGCCCTCGCTGATCGTCATCGAATGCATAGGCGTGATGCCTTTTCTTCATCAACTCTATCATCAGCGCCCTCTCCCGGGGTAGCTGAAACTCCCACTCTCCCACTATCAACTTCTCCTCATTCTCTTTATTGATACGGCACGGCCCCATCGCTGCTTGCCCCCTCATGCGTCGTATCAATCCTCGTTTCGCTCATAATAAACCTTCTCATCTTCCGTGACAAGGACGGGAACTGGGCGACACTTCTTATCTATCGTCTTGTACCGCCTTTGGGAACCCTGCTTGAGCCGTCCCCTAAAAAAGGTCGGCTTACTGCTTGTGCCTGCATCATTGCATGGTCTCTCCTTCCGCCCGGAAGCCGATAGACCAGCTTCAATTCCCCAGCCTGGGGACAGTCCAGGACTTGCTCCCTCAATGCCTGAATGGCATCTGGATCCGCCATCTCATGTGTGGCAACTATATCCATGGCCTTGTTAACATCCGATAAACTGAGGGAGAACGCCTCACCCCTTTTTTCCTCCTCTGGCTCCCTTAGGAGTCTTCGGCGCTCATCCTCAGATTCTTCGATTGTAAACGATCTAGGATTGGGCAGGTTCCTTATGCTCCGTGGACCAGTGTTCCGACAAGTAATTATTTCATAATTCCCACATGCCGGATCACACATAATCAAGATTAGAGTTCCGTCGTGTTTATTAAACATCAACGTTTCTGTCCTTCACAGAAATGACCTCTCAGGAGGATGCCATGGTCCACATCTGGCATGACAAAGAAGCATGCTCTGACTTTCACTCTCCCGACCTCGATAAGTACATTCGAGGTTGTCCCACAAAACACTGCCTTGCAGTTGGCTTCATGTAAAATACCGCAATCTGAGCGGTTTATCTCCAACCCAAACCTAAGCGCGTCAGCCTCCCGAATAATATTCATCTCAACTCCGGTATCCTCCATTGCTGCATAATTGGAGCCTTTCACCACCAAATCCACCATACCGCAGGCCACACACTTCCAGTCCATCTTCGTCCCAGTTTCTGCCCATTCCGCCTTTTTTGGCAGAATCACACTTAGATGGACATTCGGTACTAAGCGCCGAGAGAGCCTTCCCTTTAGCTCATTGCGGAGCTTGGGAGCAGAAGTCAGGATCTCTTTCAAGGTCACCAGGTCATTATGACCCTCAAGTAACCTATCGATTACCTTCTCCACATCGAACCCTTCCTCCAATCGGACCACATACTTCTTTTTCCTTGGCGCCGTATTGCGCAGGATCAATTCGGCTTCTTCTTGGGCTCCTCTCTTCTTGGCCCTTTGCTCCGCTCTCTGGTCCTCTTCTTGGCGCAGCCTTTCGTCCTGCTCGTCTTCTTCCTCGTCATCCTCCACCTATACGACCTCCTTTCTCTTCTCTGGCTCAGACTCTTTACGCGGAGGTTCCTAGCTTGCGCTGGCCTTAGCCAGACCTCTAGTACGAGCCGCCTGTGCCATTCTTCCTTGCGCCGTAGGGGGTATGACCATCATTCCGGACCGCGGGCCTGATCCTACGGTAGCTACTCCGGGTCGCCCTGGCATCGATTCCGGGCCAGACTCGTAGAGAAAGACTTTGGGATACCAACTTTCCATCCCTTCACTTCCTCACAAATGTCTCCCAATTTTTGCTGGTACCTCCCCATCTTTCCCCACAAGTCTTTCATCTTCCCTAGAAGGATTGATGCGGGCTCCACCTTCTCATTTTCGCCCTCTTCATCTGACTCAACGACTATGGGCTCCTCCTTTATAGCTCCAGCCCGTAGCCTCTGAGTTACCTCTTCATCACTTTCCACCTCTTCCACCCTAATTGGTGGATCATCCCTTTCCTGCCACAATCTGAATGTGGCCGATGGAGCTTGTCGCGCAGCTACCCTTCTCTGTGTCTTCGCCCTTACTCCACCCGGAACCTTTCGGTCAATATATTTTCCGAACTGATCGTATATATCGCCATCCATATTGGAATAGATCAGTCCTACCCTTTCATCTTCCCGCCTAGTATTGCAGAACCGTATAGTATGGCCCTGTTTGTCACAATGCTGGCATATATCGGTTCTCCAATCAAAACGGGTCCTCCCGCTTCCCTAGCTCCCTTGATTTCCCTGGTCCTGGTGACCTTGGTTGTCCCATTGTCCCCCTCGGCCACCACCATTTCTGCCACGTCCTCTTCCGCGGCCTCTTCCTCCATTCCCTTGATTACCCTGGCCTTGGTTGCCTCCACCTGCCACACTGCCTTCAAGTTGTGAACTTGGTGCGAGCGACGGAGGCGGTGCCATGGGTTGAGCCTGTGTCGCGGGATAGCTTGGAGGTGGCATACTCGCTTGGGGCCCAGCGTATGGTACCATTTGCCCCGATGGTGAGGCTTCCCCATGGCACAAAGGTGTTAAACACAGGTCACGGCCACTGCCCAAATGGTGGTACCGCCGCTTGTGACGGTGCCGCGTTACTTGACGGAGCCGACGCACTTGGCGATGTTACTACCATTGCTTGGGGCACTTGCCCCTTTCCTGAACGTTGCCCTCCCTGCGTTAAATTGCGTTGTTTGCGTAGCACCTTCGAAAGGTGTTGGGGCACCGGCTCCTCTTTTTCCCACTCCTCCTAGACATCTTCCTCTATTACTGGCTCCTTCCCTTTTCCCTGGATTCCCGTTACCACTTTCTGTTCTATCACCGCGTTTTTCCCATAGCCCAACTCTGCAAGTACGTCGGTCACAATCCTCTTTACTCCCGGGGTCCGAGTCATGGAGCGGTTGCATCCCGTTCATTCCTCTTTCGCCTTTGCAGGCGCATCTGATACTGCTCCACCTAGTCAAGACTTCCTTCCTCCACCCCTTTGTCAATAGTGGCCCAGGTGAGTTTCGCATTCCCCCCTTTATGGCTTGTCAGCTCTGCCGCTTCCAAGGCAGTGAGCAACCCAAGGAAGAGAGCACACTGCGCTTCCTTAAAGATCCCAGGGACCTTCCTCGCCTTATTTTTGAACTCATGCACGAAGGCCCCCATTGTGGTGAAGTCATCCCTGTTCATTGCTTCTAAGGTCTGCAGTGGTTAATAGGTTATCACTCAGCCTGTACTTCCTTTGCATCCCATCTTTGAATCTCGACCCAGCTGCCATTTGCTGCGTTCACCACTTTCTCTACCTCTTGATGATGGTCATGGAGGACATACTTCATAATTCGTTGAAATTTCACCGCGTCCGATAGTCCCACCAGTGCTTGTTCTACCAAGTCAAGCCAATCAGAGACCCGTTTCCCATTGAAATGGAAGGTATCGACCTTGGGAACATTTCTCTGTGACCTTTCACACCTGTCCAAGGCTTCGACCAAATCGTCGATCGTCAGGACCTTCCTGGTACCATCAGCTATGCCTCCTGACATCTTGGTCGAACCTCAGTCTCAAATTTTCCTATTAAAAAGAGTAAGGAAAAAAAATTTGTCATTCTGTGTCCCAACTTACTATGACGCCTATCGAGTTTCCTAGACACCCACTTAGCGATTCAGATCGAGTGGTACGACCTATTCCTTCCCTTTGAATTCATCTTAATCGGCCCAAATTTATTGTAGGATTTTCTTTATGACCCCCTAACCTAGGCAGCCAATCAGATCAAAGATAAAACTTATTACAATAAAAATGTTTATCCATCATAATTAGTCTGGCAAGACATTACGTACTCTGTCTTTCCTTATATGCCTATTTATTTCTCAATCTTATACCCGGATGTCGTTCCACCAGGGACAACGGTAGGCTTCCGTTATTCCCGGCAACGACACTACCTATTGAGCGCATCGACCTGACACTGCACAAAACGACGCAGGAGTTGGTATGTTCCTTCGTCGTGAATATACATGGAGCTTCCGCAAGCCGCTCCGACCGAGTGCGCCAGCCATACCTCTCGCGAGCCCCTACGACAAGATAGGGCATACACGAGGCACGACTTACCTCCAACTTGCGAGAGTTGTCACCTCCCTTCGGTGGGCGTATCCCCGCCGAGCTACCCGTCCACAATACGAAAGCTAATCAGATGCAATCGCAGAGGTGGACCAGCCGAGGGTGTTTCTTGTACATTGTAGCATAGGCGTTACGCGCGGTATTACGCCTCTATCGGACCCGCACACGAACCGACATCTTGGGGGGCCGAGGTCCCACGTGCGGCTCGTCGCCGGTCGACTAGAACGCATCCCACACTCCACACGCACACCATTCTAAAAAACATAAAAACAAAAACACACACAGATGTACATACTCGAAATGACACAGAACAAACAACGCGACAACACTCCTAGTCCCTTAGTAGTCATCCCATAACTCTCCGACAAGGAAATTGGGTAGGCGTCGCGCGAGAGACTTAGTATAAAACCGCGCGGACGCAGGGCTAACTCATATCGACTAGCAATGCATGAATACGTAAGCAGCCGCTATGATGGCCTACTATGTAGTGCCCATAATCAAGCGGTCCCTCATGGATCCGAGTACCGCTAATGACACTCAAGTGTCAGACTCGAAATATCGTGAAGGCTTACCCCTTCACGATATTGCATGGCTGAAGGAATAGCCGTGCGGCCTCCGTGGCACGTTCGACCTTTAGGCTGAGTGTCTTGGTAGGCAGGGCAAATGGGCTCTGCCGGGGGGGAGATCCCTTCCAGCAGAGTCTAGGACCTGGGATGTCCTGGACAAGGACCTCGAATCCAGGCACAGGACCAACGTCTGACAAAGAAATCTTTAGGAAGTTCAACAATAAAAAGGGGTTTTTTTTTCTTTCTCAATCTCAACCCGCATTAAACCCTTAAAAGTGGCCCCCCCAGGCCACGCGAACACCCAACATAGGTATATGCATGTATATATATAAATGGGAGATAAGTGTGTGACGATCACTTCTCATAATCACAGTGGGACTCCTCACAGCCATATATATATATATATATATATGTGAGATCGCAGAAAGTCAAATCCAAAATCCGAACTACAAAACATACCTGCAATCACATCAATAAGTCAATCAAAAGTCCACGCACTACACGGAGTCAACTTCAACCAATTTCTATACTCATACCCCTCGCTCTAGCCATGCAAGCCTCAACCCTTGTCCAACCAACCATAATTAAATACTCAGTACCTTTGTTAAGCCACAGGTCCCCCTGACGTCAAAAACCTCGGGGTACCGGTAGCGCCGTTTCACGACGGGTACCGGTCGTACAACGTGGAAAACCGGGCGGGCCTCCGTACGAAATTTGCGACAAAAAATAGAAATAAACTGAATCGGCGCGGCGAATATTTCACCGTCAAAAAAAAATTCTTTTTTCCGATATTTTTCCGTGAAAGATCACGACATAATCTACAGACCCTCAAATTTTCAGATATTTTCATGACTTCTTCTGAGCACAAAAAATCGGCAAAGTTGTCGTTTGCAAATTGGCGGGATTGGACCCGTTGGCCTGCGTACAACCCGGCGCCTCCGTACGGTCGCCGCCCCTCCGTACAACCTGGCCTTAGCTCACAGGGACTAGGAGTTTTCCGTGGCGGGGGGACCTGTGGTTTAAATGACCATTCAATGAAAGTGCGGGTGAAAACCTTAATAAAACAATAGAAATCACCAGGGCTTAAGCCTTTTAGGTTGAGTATTGAGGGTGAATTGGATCGGCAACCGACCTATTATCAGTGATAACAGAAGATGATCCTCGTGGGATCAAGTTGAATCTAGTCCTGATTTCGAATCAAACGTTCAAGAGGACCTGTAACACAAGACAAGACAATCCCCAAGCTAAATCTATGAGTCCAAATCGAGAGTAATTTCTATATCATGAATTTCATCAAGAATCATTCTACTTAATTAATCATGAATCTACCCCTAAGTGAGTGTCTAATGAAAGGTAGACCCTGACAGAATCTTCTCTATACAGAGTGGATTTTCAGGATTGCCACCTGTCAAAATATAATCTAACTCCGCTAAACTAAGAAAATTTCGACAGTGCTTCCTGTAGGAAAAGTGTCTTCTCAGAATTTATAATAACTCAAATATGAAAACAAAAACAATCTAACTCCCTGAAGTAGTAAAAATTTGGGCAGCATTTTCATTAGAAAGGTAGACTTCCCAGATTTATACTAAGTTAGATATAAACTCAGAAACAAGACCTGAGTTTTACAAAGACAAAATTTAACTAACTCCTTACATTTGTAAAAACTTTCGGCAGCGCTTCCAAGATTTATACAAAGCTAACTTCAGACTCTAAAATGACTTTGACTTCTCAAAGTTTAATTTTGTCTAACTCCCTGAATTAGAAAAAAATTGGGCAGCACTCCCTTTAGAAAAACAGGTTTTTCATATTTTTACTAAGCCAAAAAATCACAAAAGTTGGATCTTGAAAAAGTCAAAGTCTGACTAAATTCTTGGTTTTATAGAAAATTCGGCAGCGCTTCCCATAAAGAAAGTGGCTTACCAAGATTTATACAAACCCAAGTATAATAAAAGATCCCAAAAAATGCAGAAATTGACCTAAGTAAAAAAAACTTAGCTAAAAAAATGCAGAAATTGAAACTAACTCCTATGACTCTAGCACGTGGTGAGCAATCAAAGCAACTTACCTATCAAACTGAAACTTAGACTAAATAATAATCGTACTCAGTGACACGCAGACCAAACCACTATGGTAAGTACTCTCATCATCTCAAAGTCGATTTATCAAACAACAGTTCATGGTCTCTCAATGATTTAACTATTTACACCCAGCTTACATAGTAGGACATAAAGTTAGACCACCCAAACTTATGGAACATGTCTAGCTCAGCCATTGAGTATACCCAAACATAGGGCATGACAACGTTTCTCTTCTTTGGCCGTAAGTATCTCAACTTTACATATTTATCGGCACTTAGTCTTTTGAGGTAGCATATAACTGAACCGATCATCTTTAACTCAAGATTCAGTCTGCCCCTTCGTACCACAAGTTTATTCTTAATTAGTACTCTTTTCAGTTGGTGATAAGCTATAGTCAAACCACTCAAACTTATGGAACCCTGTCCGACTAGCTTGTTCACAGATAGAATCGTAGTAAGGTATAGCCAAGTTATAACCTTCTGGTTCCAGCATGCGCGTGGCATTGGATCAACACCACCCAAACTTATGGAAAATGTCTTGGTCCTCAGCCTGGTTCATTTTCTCTTAAAACCAAAGCAGGAAGAGGCTGAGTCACCCAAACTTATGGAACATGCCCAAACCTCCTCGTTCAGTACCTAAAGAAACTGAAAGAAACCCGAAGTAAAAAAGGCGACCAAGCCACCCAAACTTATGGAACATGCTTGGTCCCTAAAAAGTCATTCACTGTCAGCCCTTACAAGTTAGAGCAACAAACCACCCAAAATTATGAAACATGTCTGGTTCTTTAGGCAATTCAAAATAAACATAACACTGGACCTCCCCAAACTGATGGAGACTTGTCCAACCTTTGATATACCCAGTAAAACCAAACAATACAACCTTCCTCTCATTCTTCCCCCAGATGCAATCCCACAATCTGCTTTCAATAAAACAATAAAACTGAAACTGACATTACACATACATTCCTTTACTTAGTGTGGTTTGTGTCGTGAAAAGTCAAAGTAGGGATGCACACAGTATACTTAGTCAAAACATAGCAAATGATACAGATAGGGGTTATAACAAGGTTTATAAAGGGAAAGCAATGATTACTTTTCAATTCCCTGTCTCCAGAACTCCTCCTTAGTTCCGGCAGAGCTCCCAGAATCGGTGGGCTGACTCCCCACAGAGTCTTGCTGTGGTCCTACGGGTTGCAATCCCGCCTGTCCCCTTCCTCTCAGAATTGGACTAGACTTAGAGTAAGAAGGGCAGAAGTAGAGGTTTCAGACTCTCGAGATACAAGAGAGGGACTGACTAGACTCTCAGGAGAGGGCCTTGTTATCTTCCATCGCCTGAGGGCCCCGCAATGGCGGCCGGAATGTGGTAACAGCTTGGTCAACCAGATCTCAAACAGCCAGTAGATGATTCTCTGGCGCGTCTCCAACTTGCAGCAATTGGCTCCTTCGACAACTTTACCACCCTCTCTATATGCTATGAGAAGCGCGGTTAAACTATAGCAAAACTCGGTTTTAAAACTGCACGTGTACCAACCACGCTCAGCAGCACGGTACTGTGTCGATTCATAATTTTAAACACCAATATCATAGTGTCATACCCAGCAGCGTTCAATGAGAAAACACAGCAAGAACTGCTCTGTGGAGCACAACGAGAACTTAGCATACTCAGCTGAGGCCTATTGTTTGCACCATGAGGCAGTGTTGATCAGTTCGTACACTGTTGCAAAGCCCAACAACAACACCAAGACAGTATGGGCTTTACAACAGTCGCCCTCCCCCTCTTCTTCTCAGTGCATCAACCTTCCCCACATAGCTACTCGACATAGGTTGTGGAAAAAAAAAACAAAAACAAAGTGC